CATACTTCTTGATGTTGTCTACAAAGGGAGTTAAAGCATCAATAAATAGTTCCCTTAACCTGGTATAAGACAGTGGAGCATTGTCCTTTCTAAGAACATAGCCTGAACGACATTTGCTTACATTCCTGAATATGTACTGATCAAAATCTGGATGAATAGATGCAGCTTGTAAATATCTCTCCACACAGGCTACTGGACACAGCTTGGAATCTGTCCTACTAATAACAAGCCATGCGCCATCCCTGTATATATCCGTCTTTGACTTTTCAATAAAAACGACCATGTGTGACTTATAAAATAAAATATCAGAATGAGATATATGAATTAATTCTGCAGATCTTAAAAATCCGGCGAAAGCTAATAAACACATAGATACTATTCGCAGATCCATTAAAGATGTATTGATCATATTGAATCAGACAACCGTTCAAGTAAATCAACGGTGATTGGCTCCTTTTTAACCACTGGCTTAGACAGTTTGCGCTTTGCTCCTTCCAAAACATTCTTGACAAGGCTATTTTCAGTGGGACTCTCTAGTCCAATGTTACAATGAGCATGCCTTAAACTATAAAATTCTGTTAACACTGGTGATAATGTTTCACTCTGTTGCACAATAGACAACAGATAAATAGCACAAAGCAAATGTGAAACGGGCAACTGATCACACATATTATTAGCGTTTGCCCACCTTTTCCAAGCAGCAAATCCATTGCTATATTTTTATAAGTAGAATCTGCCCTGAACCGTGCCAACAAACCTGGTAGCTGTCCAGCTAACTGACGCACATTCAAAGGGAGTTCATCAAGTTCATCACTATTGGCATTCAGAAGGCTATCTGTAAATACATTCGCTCGTCACGCTGAAGACCCGGGTTCGATTCCCGACACGGGTACAATGTGTGAAGCCCATTTCTGGTGTCCCCCGCCGTGATATTGCTGGAATATTGCTAAAAGCGGCGTAAAACCATACTCACTCACTGTAAATACACAACAAAATATTACCTAAAATCCACATAAAGTGCAATCATATCAAAATGCAAATCGTGTTCACCGAACAAACCAACTTTGATTCTGCTTGCAACAAAAGCTTCTTTGGCCCTAGGCAAATATATTTGATCTTTGATTTGCAAAATACGCTCAGAATTCACATATAACAGTGGCCAAAAGCACGCTGAATGCCACTCTGGGACGACCAACGTTCCAACTGCATGACACTCTGCCATGTGTTTGATTACTCGCGGTATCAAACAAATAGGGGGAACAACCCAACTAATTGTACCTCTCCAGTTGACGGTGAAACAGTCCACTGCCTGGCATCCAGGATTACTGAAACGAGAGTTAAATTGGACAACTATTGTGTTATAATATGAAGCCAGACCATCAACTTGATGAGGTCCCCATTTCACATCTATTTCCTGAAAAATATTTTTGGAAATACCCCAATCATCGTAATCAATTAGCTTGCTAAGATAGTCAGCTTGCATGTTCTCGTGGCGAGGAATCCACTGGAGATGGAGCTCAACACTGTACTGTAAACATAGATCAAAGATCTGCAAAGCAAGCGATTGTAAATGGAGCTTCATACTGCCTTTTTCAATAACAGATACAACATTTTGATTATCAGTAAACCATTTGACTCTCTGATGACCTAGGGTTGCAACAAAGCTTTGGAGAACCATACACACAGCTTTCAGCTCTCTCCATGTAGAGCTGCGAGTAATTTCATCACGGGACCACTGTCCATGGGATACTACAGAGTCTACATCCACGCAGTATCCACCATAACCACTTTGGTTTGCATCCGATTACACCAATCTTTTTGTCAATGCTGTTTGCACAATCGTTCTAGAAATATACATATTATATATATATATATATTGCGATGCCAAAATGTCAGCTGCTTCATGCTAGTATATGACAAGTATATAAGACTGTTCCATGATGAAGCAGCAACAACAACAATACTCACAGCTCCTGTCATGAGTTGTACAACTGGTCCTATCACTAATTTCATAGAAATTAATTGACCAACAACTGATGCTACAGATCTAACCAATACACGTTTAGTCTTGTATTGTAACAGTTTAGTAAAAGCTTGTTTGACATTCTTTTTCTGCTTTCAACTTCTTTAAATCTCTTGAAGTCTGTATAAACTCTTCCCTCAATGAACCAATCTTCTCATTAAGAGAGGATTGAAACTCAGTTCTATTCGAATTGAGCTGTTGCAAAATGGCGTCCAGTTTAGCTTCTGTATCCATATTGACGAAACAAGTGTGAGGCCGTGCATGCACAGTGAGCGAGAGAGAACAATTCAAAATTGTACTACCCCTTATATACCCCCTTAATCGCGCCACCTAGGGGCACATAATCACCTTGATTGACATACCGCTAGGAGAAAATAATTTCTATCCTATTCATTCTTCAAACGAGAGAAATATTATGTATCCCCGCCGTGATATTGCTGGAATATTGCTAAAAGCGGCTTAAAACCAGACCTACTAATTTTTTTCCCATCGACTGTGCGATTGTCGAACTCTATTCCGTTATCAGATCGAAATTCTCGGATTTCATGTTTTATAATTGTTTTACAAACGCACACCTCGTGAATAACAGGGAGAGGGCAGTCTAAGTCGGTAGAACCTGTCCTCCAATCCCAATCACTTTTCGTGGATAAATGTTTATTTCACATACAGTCCTCCCTGACCTACACATACGGTCCTCCCTGACCTAAATGCCACTCTAGTAATAGAATCCATAATAATAATAATAATAATAATAATAATAATAATAATAATAATAATCCAGCTTTGGCACAAACACAGTATCTTTAACGACATGATGGTGTAGCTCGATCATTTTATCGCCGTCTTCGCTATGCTTGTGGTTTTGACAGAGGTCCCACCCATGGTACGACCCGGAATATGTAGAGGGCGTCATGGAAAATGATAAATACTTTTTTCTTTGGAATAGGCCCATTTACAGCCTCAGACGTATCTAGGCCAACAAACCTTATCTTGTCCTTTTTGATAAATCAAATAAAATCATTTATATCATTGAATTTTCTGTCCCCTTTGACACTAATGTGATTGACAAGATTGAGGAAAAACATGGCAAACATGCGGACCTCGCTTTCGAAATGTCACGCTTGCATCCCAAGTACCAAGTTGTCCGACTCCCTATTGTTCTCGGTGCCTTAGGTTTGGTACCTCCAAATCTGTTGACTGGCATTGGGAGAGTACCCGGGTTTGCTACCAGGAATACAGCCCTTCTGAAAATTTGGGTAATGCAGAAGGCTGCAGTGTTGGGGAGTCTTCACATTCTCCGAAAAGTTCTGGGTGGTCATGACTAGGCAGCGCTTCCTGGGAGAAGTCCCATTCGCTGTCTGGGCTGCGTGTAGAGGGGGCAAGGGCCCTGAGCTGATGATGAGCCTAACCAGCCCGACTGTGCCAGGATCACCCAAACCCTCTTTGCTGCATTTTTTTACTTTAATTTGTACATAATAATAATATGCTATGAATGTGCTATTATATTGCGCACATTTCCACACCACTCAGGGGCATTCTCAAAGCGCTATTAGTACCCCGGTCACTGGATCAGTGTGCACTCAAGCATCATTCTCAACTCCCTCGGGAGTATACAACCCAACCTGCCTGTTAGGCGCAAGAAGTTTAACAACCACTGCTTGGTGAACAGAGGCACATTTCGAACAAAGTCACTTGCTCCAGTCGTCGTTGTTTCAAACATGTAATCACATACATAACGTTGGAAGTGGATATACAGTACCTAGTTATAATGCCCCCTGGTTATAATGCCACCCTGGTTATAATGCTATCCTGGTTATAATGCCATCCTGGTTATAATGCCATCCTGGTTATAATGCCATCCTGGTTATAATGCCACCCTGGACCCGGTTGTATCAAACTTTAATGATGCATTACCGCGTCATTAAACCTTCATTAACTAATGTATCATTAAATCAAGTTGTACTAACGTTTTAATGAGGTCGTGGTGTCATTAGCGCGTAGGTTCTGGGGCATCATTAGCGTGTCATTAAAAACAAACATGGCAGCGAACATATTGTTTGAACGCTTAGGACGCACAAGGAAAGACAGTGTTTTCAGAATTCGAACACAACACCTCGAATCCATAAGCGATAAAGAAGTAAGGGCCCGCTGCCGTTTTGGGAAGGCAAACATCAGATATATCTGCGATCTTGTGAGAGATGAATTACAGCCCAAATCTGCAAGATCGCACGCACTTAGTGTTGAACTACAGGTGAATGTTTGATAATTAACACGTCGTCACTAGAAACTCAGCTAGTTTGAAATAAACATATAATTATAGCGCCACGTCGGGCAAAAGTAAAGCGGCAATGTTTACAATGAATGAAACGCACTTCTACGTGGGTCAGCTCACTGGTCTGTGTTGGTAAAGTCATATATGCAGCCTAATGATACCAACCTTATAAATTAATCCACAATTGAAAGTGATGTAAATTCATTGATCCCTTTCACTTCACTCCAGAAAGATACGTTTTCAACTTGGCGTTGTCAGCCATGATCAATTTCATAAGGGGGAGTTACTCTAATGACTTAAAAACTATACGTGTCGTGCACACTGAAGAGAACAGTTTTGCGTGTTCGATTCCGGCCAAAAGAACCTTTTAATTAATTAAAGCATGCACATCTTATATCAATCATTAACACTTTACTTACTGAGACACAATGAAGACGCAGCCAAATAAATAACAAAGTAGATATAAGTATTATGGAAATATTTGAAAATTTGTCAAACCTATCATTAGCCTCTTTATAATAATTTTATCAGGTTCTGGTAGCCCTACGTTTCTTTGCAAGTGGAAGTTTCCTGCAAATCACTGGCGACACAATAGGGATAGACAAATCAACAGCCTCACGAGTTGTGAGGAAAGTTTCCCTTGCCATTGCGTCTCTTGTGCCCAAGTTTGTTACCTGGCCGTCCGAGAGGGATATAGGTGACATTAGAAAGGAATTCTACAATATATCTCGATTTCCTGGAGTCATCGGATGTATCGATGGGACACATGTACGGATACAGGCACCATCAGACAACGAACCTGCCTTTGTCAATAGGAAAGGCTACCATTCGATCAACGTTCAAGCAGTGTGTGACAGCCAAGGTGTGTTAAATAGATTTTTATAAGAACAAATCAAATGTCATTGTTAAACCTGTGCATGGAGCATACACGTCCTCCCTTCAAAGTCACAAGGACAATATGTTTACGACCCTGACACCATTCACATTGTTAAACGAAATAGCTATCAGACAAATCTTTACAGTATGATATGATTTCAGCATTTGTTGTTTAACGCCGCGATCAGCACTGTTTCAGCTATATGGCAGTGGCTGCTATATGAACCAAGTTCGATGGTAATATTGACTTATATTAACATTAACCCCATTTGTCTCGTTCTGTAGGTAAATTTACTAATTTAGTGGCGAGATGGCCAGGCAGTACGCATGACAGCCACGTGTGCAAGATGAGTAACGTGCGGCAACACCTGGAAACACACCATACGACTCTACAAGACGGCGTTATTCTCGGTGACAGTGGATACGCATGTCGTCCGTATTTGATGACTCCGTATCTAAAGCCATCTAGCCCCGAGCAAGAGCGATTCAACTCTTCCCATAAAAGGACAAGGTCAACCACAGAAAGAGCATTTGGGTGGCTCAAACGGCGTTTCCATGTTCTGCATGGTGAAATCAGGATGAGCCCAGAGAGAGTTTGCACCATCATTGGTTAGCTTACTAAGATAATAATATATATTGTAACTATGAAATAAATTTGAAGCTAACCGATATAAGATCGCATATATCTGATAGCTGGAATAGTGCTAACACCAGTGGGAAACACTCATTCATATAACATAAGAATCGAATGATAACGATACTGTAAACCCTTTAAACAATCCTACTATATTTCACAGGTGCTTGTGCTGTGTTGCATAATCTGGCGATAATTCTTCGTGAACCCATGCTGGATGTTGATGGAGGGGACGACAGTAACATTGAAGGGCAATATACAGGGCCCGAAGATGGACGGGGCATCTGTGATTATATCACAAGGCACTATTTCACTAATGAAATGGTCAAACTGTCTCTGCTTTAATATAACTATACAGAAGAATGCAGCGATACCATCTGTTGTCACTGAAGAAAATAGTTGACAGTGTACGCGGTATGTATTTGCCAATGCGTGCAAAATAAAATTGTAACAAATGTTTAAGCAAAATCTTTTGCTTGCACTTTTGTCTTTTCATGTTGAATCAAAGGGATATGGTTTCCCAGCTTTGTTTAACTTCAATTTAGATTGATTACTGCGTAAATATTGTCCAGTGCACAGTGCACATTTCCCTTCAGAAAAAATACAGATGAACGCTACAGGCATACAATGAGTTTGATTTTGTTGCACAACGCCACGACTTCACGGTGAGAATGTAAGGTTCTTTGTGTATCTTTAGCAATGAGTCTATCACATTAATTTTATTCAAGATATATTTCAATATGGTTTACATAAATTTCGTAGAAATCGTGTATTAACTCATCGTTATTGACAGCTACATACGTAAAGATCACCCAGCAATATACCAAAGTGATACGTGTTTGGTTACTTGTATATAGTATATAGTAAAAGATAGATAACAATTTATTAGAATTGACATTGTTAGTTACCTCCCGTTCGTTCAACTGAAGCTATACAATATACAACACAACACTGTGTAGCACACTATCAAACTAATTGTATTTTCTAAATGAACTCTTAGTAACATTTCAAACACTAGGATGTCATTTTCATTCATGGTGCATCAAGCTATCCAACTCCAATCGGAGCTTCTTGTCCTTGAGTTCAAAGTAAATAGTTTGCTGAATGACTTTCTTTTTCTGCTCAAGCAAAACCTCATACTGCAGTCGGGTGATGTCATCCTGTTTGATCTTTCTCTGGTGACACGATTGGATTTCGACACAGTCTGGACCAAAGCCCTGAAAAAATACATTGTTTTGTATCATTTGATCATGATGGTCATGCGAGTCTCCCTATGTATATACAATTCATTCTACGTTGTATACGCGTATGTTCAAGGCCAAAATTAGTTTGAGTGTTACAATCCAATGGGTGGGCGAGTGCAGAAAAGGACTTGGCATTACATGTATGTTAGCACTGCTGCAAGAAGATAGATCCCAGTATTAATTAATAGGACATACTCTTCGATGGTATTGATGTCGGCATGTAATGCAGATGGGTCGACAGACAGTTCTCCTTCTGGGTAGATCTGTGAGGTGGAACAACTCGGCACAGACGCTTCCTGAGTAGGGACATCGCCAACATTTTCTTCTAAAACCCGTGCTAACAGATGTAAAGTCGAAGGAGAGCCAATTACATCGGCGACTTCCGTACCTGCACACGGATAAAGTTATTTGCACACTTTTTGAAAATAAGTTGTTATATAACGCTAATTAATATTTTTTACACTGTTGAAACGGGAGAGTGAGTGAGTGAGTATGGTTTTACGCCGCTTTTAGCAATATTCCAGCAATATCACGGCGGGGGGACACCAGAAATGGGCTTCACACATTGTACCAATGTCGGGAATCGAACCCGGGTCTTCAGCGTGACCAGCGAACGCTTTAACCACTAGGCTACCCGACCGCCCCTGAAACGGGAGAGGTACGGTTTACGAGAACCAGCAGTTGCACTTGTTTTTCGGTTTTTGTGAGAATTAGCTATGGATCACGATTATACATTTTTTTTGTCGTCTTATTTTTCTTCACGGGTAACAAAATCGTTTCAACAGAAATAAATATCCCAACCCATGACAAATGATGAAATCGTAGATTAAAAACCACAAAAATCTTCACCCCTTTATAGTGCAAAAAAAAAATCTGATTGTATGAGTTTTTTTCTGTCACTCATGTTGGCACCAGTGTTATTATCATTAGCCTTATAGCCATGTGAAATGATATATGAGAATTGTATGTTAAAATTGTATTTGATAACATGGCCTATTCAACCACGTTGAAAAAAAATGCCTTTGATATAATGAGGCATATGTTTTGTCGTCATAAGTAAATTCTCTCTTGAAAAGTCAAAATGCTTCACATAAAATATGCATTTGGAGACGAAGAATGTCAAGATTAGAACTTAACAACGAAAGGCACAAGAAGAAGTTTTGGGTTTGGAATAGGGGTAATGAGAGTTGCCCCCCCTTCTCGTTTCACAATGGCTGCCGGTCGGAGAACTGATGAAAAATATGAAACTGTGCACTGTGTATTTTATCACAACCGGCAATTGTACTGAAAGATTTGTGAAAAAGGTTGGTTAAATGTTTCTTTTTACATTTCCTCTTGATATATGATCATCAAATCATGTGCAACATCCAATTCCCCATAGCCTTGTTCAACGTGTATGAGCAGCTGATTTGATTAGGCTACTTGTTCGTTGTCTCATGTAAAGTACTTTTTAAAACTTACAACAATTTGCGTATCGATATTTTATTGAACGCAGGCGACATACCCATTTGCATCTCTAGATCCTCCGATTCGATGCCCGTGAGTCCAGTGAAACTGGGACATTCCTTGTAAATGTCGACTATCTTTTCACTCGTCGTGGAAAGTGGGGCAATGCAGGGCCCTCCCCCTGTCTTCCTCATGTCCAGCTGTCTGTTGCTGAATTCCCTTTTGGCCGTCTGGTGCATGTTCGTCCATTTTGTTTTTATTTCTTTTGTTGTTCGCTGACAAACACCGAGAGCGTTAACTTTGGAAGTTATCTCTGCCCAAATAGACTTCTTTCTTTCGTGGGTAACGGTGCTACACAACTTACTGTTAAGTATGGAGATGTGTTTCTCCACCAACTCGGCTAATAGCTGAATTTCGGAGCTGTCGAAATTCTTGTTTCTATTCCTAGGTTTAGGTGGATACGATGCCATTTTGACAGACGACCGAAAGTAACGCGTACGTGTGTTTACGTCAAGGAATTGTGGGAAATATTTAGGGGAAACTGAAGTTGTATACAACTCGGCATTCACACGGCGGCGAGTTGCATACTACTCGGGTCTCGCGAGATCTCTGACAAAAAGCTTGTGATTCACTACATTATCGCTGGAATCTTGGTTGCCGAGTTAATGTTCAGACGTATTGCCTTTGAAAAAATCAACGCTGTGCGAGAATTGCTGTCGCGCGTTACTGGACCAACCTCTGACTTTGCAATTTAACGGCCTTTAATTATTGAATTTTTAACCCCATGATGGAAAATTAAATGTATAACGTGACACATTCGATACGAAAACGTACTTGTTTTATATGTCGAAAACAAATTTTCCGTTACATGACGTCAAAACACGAGGGCGATGTCCACATGTACAAAGACAAAAAACACACGCAATTCCTAGTCATTGCAAAACTTAGTATCCGTCATGTCCGTGGTGAGCATCTGCTTTGGCTCAGGACAATATATTCTAGTATCTTTCTGTTTATTTGTATCTACAAAGTTCCCACACAGCTATCGATTTTAATAACCACATCGGTTCCTTTTCTGGGACATTGAATGATTGTCATCCAAAATGTCCTGAAGACATATTTCAGATTTTGTTATAATATAGAAGAATGAACTATAAAAATCCAGAAAGTGCCCTTTGGCCAGTTGAATTCAGATACTTTTAGCTTATTTCCCAATTTATACGAAACGTTGAAATCGGTAACACAAAAAGGTACAGTATGTTACCAATTATATTCGGTTATAGTATGGAAAATTTCGATTAAAAGAACAGAATGTTGGGCTTATCACTACAACAGCTCCACAACCCCTCCACCCCCCAGCAACGCACACCCAAACCTCAACAAACCATGACCCACCTCCACCCATGAATCTCAAATGATCGGCCCCTATTTTGAAACGCGCACCTGATGCAATCTTTAGCTGTCAATGTTCCGCCAATTAAACGTTAAAATCCAAATGTAAGACAAGTAGTTGTCCACACATGAGTTATACATTAATAAAAATATAACGTGGCGAATTTCCTTAATTAATTAATTAACTTAAGAAATGAAGTGCCTGTTTTATTTAACCTATCTATATAAATTTGCCACAATGAATATTTCACAATTCTCCAAAGGAAATATGTATATGCTGCAGTGTGTTACATTTACAAAGCATCTTATGGGAAGGATAACACGATGAATGTCTATGACCAAACAAACAGCTGATTATTATGAGTTTCATAAATTCTATGGCATTTTAGATTATATTAGTAACAGTACTGCATACATGTATCCATTTTGCAGCAGTGCATTATTTTGCTAGGTGAAACGATATTGAAGAGATATTCAAATTATAATTCAAGATTGAAACAGTAAACTACTTCATGAACTGAATGCGTTGTGTACTAGTTCACCCGCACCTCAAAGAAAATAACAAATATGTACAACGATGTTGATGCTGACGTATACTAATATGAAATCACTACGGGTAACCTCCCGTCATAACGTAGCGAGTTCACTTATAGCAGTACGCGGAATGTTTGGAGTAGGTTTTACCGTGATGCTGGGATCATATACATACACAAATGAGTCATGTAAGTTAAGTAATCAGAATCAATCTGAAATCAATAAGGCAGACCAATACCGTCGTCAGTGTGCGTGATTTTGCGTCAATCATGGCGGCACGTTGAACGATTTATGT